GTCAACAGTCGACTCTGCACGATCCGACTTAAAACCTCAGTGCGACCTTCCAGTCGCGGAACCAGCAGACGTTGTATGTTAGTTGTAGCGGCGTACGCTCCTACAGACTGCAGCTAGGGGTCAGTTAAAGACGAGTTGTATTGCCAAATCTCCGACCTCCGAAAAAGCGCCGTACAGGCACTGTGATGCTTGCCAGAGACTTAAACGCGCAGGTCGACAGACTGGCATTTGACGCACATGTACTCGGTACTCGTAGAATAGGCAACGGTGATCGCCTGCTTCAACTTTGTGTCGGTCACCACCTGTACGTTTCGAGTACTAGCTTACGGTAATCTTGGCGCCTATGCGCCACCCGAAGGCATCCGTCACCTGGCAAGCCATGGACATAGATCGATCATATCGCCACCAATTACCGCTGCTGGATCTGCATACAGGATTGTAAATCAATCTGGAATATTTACCTCACTTCGGATCAAGAGCTCGTGTGTACCGACATCGCTCTACGTTTTGACGGCTCCAAGCAACTTCGCCGGAAATTGCTCGAGGTGGCTAAGCTTTCTGCCCCAAGCGTTCTCAGAGCTTGACAGGATGCGCTGGCATCAAATCTTAAGAGCGCCTCATCCTCAGACTTTGAAACGCACTGGGCACACGTCCGCAGTACCATGCACAAATCTGCGACCGTAGTCTGCAGTTTCATAAGCAGTACCGGTTAACCAATAAATTTCTGTACCTTCTCTCCAGCTTCTCAAAGCTCGTCGAGGAATTCCTGCTGGCGTTGGATACCATTTACTGCGCAGGAAGACCTACGCTGAACTCGAAGATGTCCTTCGAGCGGATCGCGAGGCCTCCTTGGTGCATTCGGTCACTGATATGAACCAGGTGGTCAGTTCGGGGAATTCCTGAAAGCGTTCCTACCTGATAAATTCCATTGGTGACAAACAGCGAAGTGTTTTACGATACCAGCTGCGGGAAATTCACTGTCATCCACGTCGAATTGTGCGTTGGGCCGAGCATTTTGAGCAGCAGTTTAATTGGCCAGAAGTACCGATGACCTCCCATTCCGGAATTCCCAGTGTTTCCTGGTGTGTAGACGCTTCACCACTATAGAAGGATGAGGTTGCTCATGAGCTTCGCCCCTAAAGCGCTACAAATCTCCTGGCTCAGACGAACCGCACCGGCTCTTTACAAAAATGGGGTTGCATCAATTTCTCGGGAGTTAGCTTTCCAAAGAGGTCCGCACCCCAGAAGTAATCCTGTCTGATTGGAGTCTAATGGTTGTAGTGTCAATCTTCAAAAAGGGCGCCAGGTCGGACTGCACTAACCACAGAGGGATTAGTGTAATGTGCGTTGCATCTAAAGTGCTCACCTCCATGCTTTTAGGGAGGCCCAGCCTGGTACGTGAAGGGAACATAGGTGAGAAGATGCTGAGTTCCGCTCTGGCCAAGATTGTATCAATCACATCTTTAACTCCGCCAACTAGTCGAATGTCGTCAAAACCTTTGGTCAGTCAACAATACTTGTCTTTTTAGACATACGAGCCGCGTTTGACTCAGCTGACCGAGCTGCTGTCTGGAGCTGTCTCTTGAGAAGGGGCCTGCTTGAGAAATGCAACAACATTCTTCGAGGAATCTGTTCTCGAACCTCAGATCGGATGCGGATATAGGGCGGACTTTCGCCCCTCTTTACCATTACCAGTGGCATGAGGCTGGACCGTCCAGCGTGCCTCTTCTTGTCCAAGTTCGCTATGGACAAAATCATGAAGAGGGCTCTTGAGAACTGTGGATTCAGTGGCGTTTAGCTGCTGTCAGGGGAACGAAATCACGATTTGGGGTATGCAGACGACATCTATAATTTCTTTGTCTTAACTTTGGATTCAAAAAGTGTCATGTACAGTTAAGGTAGCGGCAGTAATCCATATGAGCGGGCACTAAAGGAAATGTAAAACGGATAATGGGTCAGCGGATTTTGCATTTAGTAGTCTGTGCGAAATTGCAGGCGGTGTTACATTGATTGGCTGACGGCTCGCGTAATGCGCACAGATTCAGCCCCCACTCAAGGACCATCGACATAAGAGTTCGCACCCAGCAATTACATGAGTACACCGCCACACATATAGCATGCGAGTAAGTGAAAAGAATAACTGCTGAAATGCACCAATGGATGGTCAGATCATAAAAATCGCCTTTACTGTCCCGGATAGATACCATTTGAACTCTGTGAAGGGCATCTTATTGAAAGCTTGAAAACTAACCGCACCTTAGTAAGGTTGCACAAGTGGTCTAGGGTGCACAACTGTCCACTACTATTTAAATCCATCAGTACATCCGATGTAATTAAACCTATTCGGAGCGGACCAATCCTCACATCGTCTACGGAAATCAAATCCACTATTCTTAAGGCCGATCATGCGCCCAGGAACGATACCTTAGCGCAAGCATGGATAGTCGCTCACCTAAGCCCTGTCCGAGTTCACTCGAAACCAAACCGCAAACGCCGAAGCTAGATCTCCAGGTTGACATTGATTTGCATGGTGATGCTGATGAAAAACTTTAGTTGAATGTGTGATATTAAAAGGTATATCAGTAAGAAATGGGAAATTTAAACCAACTGTCCTTAAAACTGAGCAGGCGCCTCCGGAAAGTTGCCTATTACGTTCGTGCTAGCGATATTAGAGCTATGTTTTAGCTAATCTCTCGCCTAGCCATCCCGTAACCAAGTGACTTCCATTTACACTGAGTCACAGTGTAGCTATCGACGCGCATGAAGAACTCGAGGAAAAGCGTTTTCCGGAAAGTGTGACAAAAACTAATCTATTGTTAAAAGGCACGTTAACCAGAGGGACGCCCGCTCAGAATCGACACAGAACCAAGCATCCAAAGCGAGAGCTCAGTGACTGCGATTGACGCAACATGCCAAAACAGCAGAACTCGATCGCATAGTCAAACAGTGCACCATCATGCAAACTAGCACTTCCACATCACCCACTAATGTCACAGTAACAGACTGTTCATCAGCAAATAACAAACATCAAATTACTCCTGTTTAACGTCCCTGGTACATCCAATATAGGCGACTATTTATTGAGCACACGGTAAAATCAGTCAAGGAAACGAGTGTAGAACCATCAGCTAGATCCGGCACATCGCTTGCCCTCAGCATCCCTAATGGTATTTCTGAGAGAAAGACCTAGATATGTTGAAAAGCCAAAGTAAGCTCTACGATTTACTGGCTTTCGGTATTCGACCTCCAACTTAGTCACAAAATGCCCAAGCCTAATTAAACGGATTCTGTTGGGCGTCAGAGACGAAGTGTCAGTAGGTTAACATTACAGGAACGTGTGGAACGTGACTTCATATCAGAAGCTTCGTGTCATTTGAAATAGCAGCGAAAGCCGTCCATCCAAAAGTAGTCTCAATACCAAAATATCAAATCTGTTCGTTTCAACACTTCTTCCCACTAACACAAACATTAACATGCATCCGATCACCGGCCATCTACCTAGCCCAGCTCCTTTTCTGGGGAACCGTGGTTCACCAGCTGCCACTGCCCCCAATCCCACGAGATCAACTGGTTGTAATCGAATCCATTTTTAAAGAAATAGTGCAGGTGCGCTAATTGCTTCAGTGTTTGCGCACTTGCAGAATGAAGAGGAAAGTAAACTAGTTGACGGTGTAACATCTCATTTGAAAAGAATTTGCAAGGCTGCAATCAAACATCTATCAGATGCCTTATACAGCCTTAACTTTGTGAATATTTCATCCCACCCGGGAGCTCTTCTGTCTATCTAGATCAGGTTTGACCTGTGTGATTCGTATGGGAGCAAAATGGTTAGAACGTGATTATCTTCGAACCCACGTACCGTCACCAGTGTGATATGTAATTGACTGAGGTAAAAAGTTAGGTTGAGCATATTGTAGGCCTTCTGCTGAGCTGGATATCGTTACCTTCCTTACGTTATTGACAAGTTGACTCTGAGATTAAACGGTAGCATGCACTGCACTGCTAAGCGAGAGAGTCCGGTCAAAATTGTCTGAAGCGGCAACAAAATGAGGTTACCGATCTGCCTTTTGCAGAGATTATTTTGGGATACCGAGTCAGCATTGTTCAATCTGGTCCTCCGTGCCCCACTTGTTCCGTCGCCTCAAACAGACATATCGTTTGTTCGCTCAAGCCCTCTTTGTGAGACCCTTTTGACCAGTTACAAGGAGCTTTATCACGCCCCCTACTCACCTCGGATTTGACCCAGTGTTCCGGACATGTTCGCTGCCGCGTCTACGTTCGTTTCGACTCCGGAAATGTGCTGACTTCGCTTTGCCTCGACGTCTCAGGCTTCGTGGTCTGGACCAGTTCGTGAACCACCCTACTTATTGTCCAAAGCTAGCGTGCGCAGGGACAGTGCGCACTTAGAAGGTCGGATGGCAGAGGTCCGTGTAGCTAGGCCCATCTAAGTGAAAACCTAGGTGTCTCATGCCTTGCTTGGGACAAGCTTCAATGCCACGTCCCCCCCTTCATAAAGCGTATTACCATATGCCGTTTACCATATGGGTTTATGTTAAACAGCCATGTTTGCATATTGTCAGAATGCAACTGGATGATAGCGATTGAGCACTTAATGCGGTCCTGGATGCAGTTTCGGTGACAATCTGATACGGAGGAAAGCAGCCATCTTACGGATGAAAGTGATTACAATGGGGATGTAATCAATTGAGAAATGGTATAGCATTCCGGCACAGGCTTCCTCGCCCCATGACTCATTGGATTGTAGGCAGTTTTAGGCGAGCTAATCACACCGTTTGAGCCGTATCGATTGTCTTCCACGGTAGTCGGAAACTGTCGTTGTCAGTGGTTTTGTTAGTTGTGCGTCACAATGCGCGGGTAAGCAAAAGCAGTGGTCAATGTGAGAAGTAGCGTTTCCACTTTGTACAATGGTGCACAGTGGCAAATGCTATTTGGTAGACTTAAGATACAGGTTTTACGAATGTAAGGATGACAGAACTTACCGGCTGTCCGCAAGCATAAATTCATGCACAAAGCCACGGCGTACTCCAGGGTGTAATCTGAGAGATTATCCGCATTCTCCAGCAGACCAACAATCCACGGAATGACTGACATGGTTATCATGATGCTTTGCATTGGACGTCTAAGGAAAAACGGTGGGAATAGCAAAAGTGATGATGTTTCGGCCGTTGAAGTTATGGACGGTAATAAGATGCTTCATTCCACAAGGGCATTGATTAAAACGAACCAGTGCTATGATGTCGGTGTTTCCCAGACACACCAATGACGGCTGACAGATCCCAGCACTTAATGGCACGCTTGAATCGAAATAAACTGTTTCCTCTGTCGTAAAGCTAATTGGCGATAATCTTTTGTTAGCTTGGTCCGTGAAGTACGGACCATCCATACAACGGTGCTGGGTATCTTCAGATCAAATTATTAGTCGATATACAACGGGATTACAGGAAACGGGCAGTGCCATGGCCCTCATACACCGTTATGCGAGTTAATCAGAGTGCGGACTGAGATCGAGGGAGTTGCCTGAAACGTTTGTAAATGGATGATGGTCTGTGCGAAAAAATGGACACGCATTTAATTGTATTCACTCATCTAATTTCGTCGTTACATGGGGTAGGAACCCAGAGGCATCACTACCTTTCAGCAGCCAGTTAACGATCATATGTATTAGAGAGCCAATTGGCATTTACAGACGAAAGGTTGTCAAGTGGCTTACAAATAACGGATTCTTAATTAAAAGAGGACACAACACTTTTAGGTGCGAATTAATACTCATTCAAATGCGACCAATGGTCCCATATAATCATGGGAAAATAAAGTGTTAACCCAATTTTCCGGGTAATGCACCAAGCCCTTTGGGACCAACAGCCACAGATTCCACTGTGATCCAACAGCATTTATCCAACGGTCGTTGTAAGATCAACATGCTAACACTAAGAGGACAGTATGACAACATTTTGGTTAGTACCCTTCATAGTTTGGCACGCATTAAACATAAGTGACTCTGGCCATTCGGTCAGTTTGAAGTTATGGGAACAAAAAAGTGAATGTCACACGACCATTTTCCTTCAAGAGTACAAGAATGAGCAAAATTTCAGCGAAGTAATCTGATTTCAGTACATTTCGCGTATTCTCATCAGCGACTTGTAAACAATGTGTGAAAACTTAAAACGGTTGCGAATGATAGATCAAGACCATAAATCGATGGTTAGTCGTGTCAACGTAGCTGTGGCATCCTAATAACGCAAAGCGAGGTTAAGCTCAAAAAATAAAAAGTAAATCGTCAGCTGTATGCTGTAACGGCACTTCGCTGCCGCGCGACCACTACCAGTCGCGCGTGGTCTGAGTACACCGCGAGGACGCCCACTCGCGCTCGGATTCGTACCGGTGACCTTATGATTGCAAGCCAAGTGTGTAGACCACTCGGCGACCGGCCGAAGGGTTAATCACAAACTCAAGCTGTTTGCATAGATTTGGCTTCAAACGCCGGATAGCAGAAGCCTCACATGTGAGAGTGAGAATGGCGCACTCTTACAGCATACTTGAAGCAGTGGTTTCTTGAAATCTGTGACATGCAACCCTATCATATTTTACAAGTAACAAAGCAACACATACAGGGCAATGAAGTATTCAACCAGAAAAAGTAGGTGGCTGCAACTTAGATACAAAATAGTTTTATGGACGTGTTCATCACGCAATCAATGTTTTATGAACGAAAAGATGTCGTGCAAGCGTATATTCACGGGCAGCCACTAGGCAGTGTATAGATCTCGAAATCGAAGCAACGCAGGGAACCCACGTTCCGCCTCTACTTAGATTGATCATCTACAGGTAGCTGGGTGACTATTAACTGTTCAAGCAGTTGTGTTATAGAGTTTTCGTCAACGGAATTTTCGATGTCCCCGTGTCTGTCAACTCAGTGACAAGGATTCTGGATGCGTTGTCCGGTGAAACAAAGAGAGCGAAAAAGAGCGTAGTGCTGGAAACGACTAGCCGTAAGTCCTCCACTAGAGTGACTGCTTCGATTTTGCCACTTACCCTCTCCCTAGGCTGCCAAACCGGTTCCCGAAGTAACTTTACTCAAGCTAGTTTATCCAAACAGAATTGTCGGATGATCATCTTTCGGTTAATTACTACACTGTCACCTGTTAGCTCTTTACACGAGATACCTAATGAAGAAAGAACAGATTCTGTCAAGTCCTTAGCTTCTAACTTGAACCCTCCAGTCATTTCTGTTAGTGTAGGAACAGCTATGAACCCGTTAAACTCTATTCGGGGAATGAGATTGTCCCTGTAATCGGTTATCGACTGCGCAGACTACTCTTCTTGCTCCCTCATTTAAGGCCGGGTGATATAGGGTCGAGTCAGTGTGACCGACACAGTCGTTTCAGATGAGTTCCTAAAACTATTGGCTGTTAACATACGGGGCCGTCATCTATTACCAACGTGCGAGTCGTACCGAATGCAGTAGAACACTTCTACACGTAACAGCCGTTTAGGAGTGACAAGTATCGGCAGAAATGCCTCAATCTGATTTAAGTAAAATAAAAATTCTCACTGAAGTCTAGAGAACGAAAGACCATCTGGTGAGCAATTGCTTTCAATGATTTATCATCAGACCATTACAGTCATATGGAGGCTAAAAATTAAAAATCGACCCTGTTAGTTCAAAAGGAATAGAGCACGTGTAGGTCTATTTCAGGGATGGGAAAATGAATTAGGTCTTAGTGGGCTAGTTGTTTGCTACCGCGTCTGACCGAAGGCAGTCGAACTGGGCGTCTTTCGTCTTCGCTTGCCCAGGAAGTTGGAGAGCCTGGATCAGCTTCTTCTGTGAGCATAAGGACGGCTGGAACAATCGAATGCAAATTGCATCAGCTGTCCCAAGTGTACGAAAGCGGTGACCTTTCGTTCGGTGCGGCGGAATCTTGTTAACTATTCGGAAGGCGCGTTTCCAATCCACCTCATGGCCAGTGCCCACGATGTGGGCCAAAATGGCGCTACTAATGGTCCCGGCACCCCCTTGACGAAGTCGACGAGGGCAATGTTCCTTCACGCGTTTGGATAACTGCCGCGTCCTTCGACCAATATATACCTTGTGCCACAGGCACACTCGAACTGATACATTACCATTGTGGTCAGCATCGGCACCTTGTCCTTGTTTTGTGAACGAAGGAGTGGTTCGTTATAAACACGCACTTCAACAAGGCTGCTGGGAAGATCGACTTTACCGCGGCCGGAAGGCTTCTGGTTAGACGCTTGGTAGCCGCGTCCCCTTTGAATGGTAAACGAATAAATAGCTCTTTCTTTGCTGCTGTTAACACTGGCATTGGTCTGGGTTCTTCTTGAAAGTTCCTTAAAATAAATCTATCGGGATAACTGTTTTCACGTATGAACAACTCCACGTGCCTTCCGTACAGATTCAACGTGCTCTTGTGGTAAGACAGTAAACCACGTTGCGCTTGTATCTCATAGGAACGAAACTGTGATAGTTCGTGTACTGACCTATCCACGTTGTCTTTCTGTAGACCTAACGCTGGATGGATCCGTCTGGTCTCCTAGTTAACAAGAGAGATATGGTAGCCAATTATGGCTTTGCTTCTCGTAAGTAAACTGCACTGCTGCAGGTACTCGGTTGAATTGGTCAAGAATTTCATCCAGATTAACATGTTTATCCACCACAACAAGTATATCGTCCATGTATCGATGATAGCCGTCAAAAAGATCTATCGCCGCCCGCATTCCGCTTCTCTCTAGCTTTGCCACGAAGATATCCGCTAATAGCAGTCCGAGAGGGGATCCCATGGCCACGCCGTCCTTCTGCCGGTAGTATTTCCCGTTGAAGAGAAGCTGCACATTCTAGTTTCCGCGTAACAATAGGCCTTTGAGCTCACGTGCAGATATACACATTTGTATTCCTGAGCCGGCTATAGGGTCGCAAAGGTAATCGATTGTCTCAACCAGTTGGACGTTGGGAAAAAGAGAGACGACATCGAAAGAAAGCATTTCTTTCTCATTGATTTTATCATCATTGATGCTTTCGACGAAATAGAAGCTGTCACGAAGGCTGTATAGAGCGAGCTGTTGTCGCACAGGTACAAGAAGTTCTACAAGCCACTGAGCGACGGCATGGTACGGCGAGTTAACCATCGATAAATAGGACGAAGTGAGATGTTAACTTTGGGGATTTTTGGTAACCCGTGGTCTTGGGACGCTTGTGCCACTCGGTTGAAAGCTGTCATGCAAAGCATCTGAAATGCACCCCTTGGCCCGGAGTTCTTGAAAGCTCTTAGTTATCTGTTTCAACTTGTTCATTTCGGCCCGTTTCTCCTTCAATGCACGCAAACTTGGTCTCATTCTATTCGATTGTGTCTAAAGAGCAAATTTGACGCGCCCTAACCAAAGTGGCACGTACTAAAACTCGTTTGCAGTTCAAGGGGTCGAAGCTATTAAAGTTCAAGTATTGTCCCGTCCATATTGGTTTTCTGTACACAGATCGAACGAGTGTACCAACTGGCTTTCTCTGTAAGTTAGCAACTAAGAAATGGAAAGATCCATCGGACTCATTTTCCATTGTGAACTTGATGGCTGGATGGTACATATTCATCAATTCCAACAAGTGCTCCGTCTGTTGAGGTGTGTTAACGCCGATGAATGTGTTGTCTATATACCAGATACGCTGACAAAGTCGGGTTCCCAGCACTCCAGCTCAAATCATTAATGCGTCTATGCGTAAAAGATATTTACTTCCCGTTGAATGGAACCCTGTATAGACAATTCGATGGAGTGGCGATGGGCAGTCCATTGGGCCCAGTTTCGGCTGATATCTTCCTCGACCACTTGGAAAACACTGTGTTAGCTTCGTATATACAAAAGGTACACTTTTACTGCCGATATACAGACGACACATTCATCGTCGTTAACACACCTCAACAGATGGAGCACTTATTGGAACTGATAAATATTTGCCGTCCAGCCATCAAGTTCACAATGAAAATGAGTCTGGTGGATCTTACCATTTCTTAGATGTTAAGTTACAGAGAAAGCCAGACGGTACACTCGTTTGATTTGTGTACAGAAAACCAACATGGACGGGATGATACTTGAACTTTAATAGCTTCTGCCCAA